AAAAAAATTTTTAAACTTGGAAGAAAAAATGCTGGTGGTGAAAAAATTAAATTATGGAGTTAGCATACGAAAAATTGCTGAAGAATTTGGTTGCGGAAATACAGATGTGCAGCTGATTGAAGCTGATCCTACCATAACCAGCCTTTTGGGTTCTGTTACTTGGGAGAATTTTGTAACCATGGATAACAATGATGACTCAATCCATAGCCCACAAAGTTCTGAAAATCATGAACAATTTGAAGTCCAAGATGATGAAGAGGAAGAAGAGGCTCTAGTCCAAGAAGTTTCTACAAAGATGGCATTACAATGTGCCAGGAAGCTAACTTCCTATTCGATACATATGGGCAATAGAGAATTGTTACAATTTTCTGAGAACATTGAAAATATTTTAGAAATTGAATTGATAAAAACAAAATGTTTTGGCAAACAGACAACTATGAATGATTTTCTTCCATAACAATATTAAAAACGTGTTGTTTTATTTTAATTTTTTATGTAGTATATCAAAAAAGATTTTGATGTTGAGTCTTGAGGAGAGCACAGTTAAGAGGAGAGGACAGTTTGGTCATTCCCCAATGGTGTAAAAACTGTATTACTTTTACTGTATTAAACTACTTACCTAAGAATTAACTTGTATTAAATTATTTTCAATTTGATATAAATAAATAATCAAGCGCTAGATAATTCAAAATGGGTGGAGTTAATTTATTAAAAGTACATTATGATTGTTTTTAAACATGGACGATACCATAGGAGTACCTATCTCACAGGAGTACCTATCTCACGTTTTACCTTATACTTATATATATATTTCAACATACTTTAACATACTTGAAAATAATTTTGTTAGTTGATGAATATATAAAAAGGTATAATGAGCATTTTTCAATAATGGGGTTTAATTTATATTTACAATATTAAAAATTTTTTGTCGTCAGCATAATTTCAAAAACTAATTATGAAAGGAATAAAAAATTGAAGGCCAATCGTTTAATGTTTTGAATGAAAAAACAAATTCCAAAACAATGAAGAATTTAAATAGTTGTTGATGCATTATTGTTTCAACTGATTGAATCAAATGTGAAAACTCAATTAGAAATGGAATATGATTGAAGTATGCTAAAGTATGTTGAAATATGTTGCAAATAATGATTTCATAAATAAAAAAAAAAGAAATATTAAATAATGAAGATGTTAGAGTGACAGGTTTTATGAAAACATAATGACCAAATAAAAAATACAGATTTTACCAACAGATAGCAAAAGAATGTTTCATATATATATGAAACAAATATAATTACTAAGTAAATCAAACAATTCAAAATTTACAAATGGTTGATAAATCTTTTCATTGGTAAATGATTTTATTGTCCCTTGAAATGTATTAACGTATGCAATTTAGAACAGATTTTAATTTGATTTGTGGTTTTTGCGAAATGAAATGAACGTACATTTATATATGTTTTTGCAATAAGTTGAAAAGCAAAATAATGATTATTTAATCCATTAAATGTATCTGTTATTCCTTGAGATTTAATAAATCTTCATTGGCCAACCTTTTAAAAACATTTGAAACTACCAATTCAGTATTCATTTTATGTTGCTCGGTTTCCATTTTTAATTGCCTCTCTGTTACATGACAAATCTGTTTATTAAATGTTAGGAATAGTTTATTGGTAGCCGTCTACCAATACGTCCTACCTCGGGAAACAGGGTCTCTGGACGCAAAACGTTGATTATTGGTAGCCGTCTGTTATTGGCAATGTTGTTAATGATTGTTAATGCATTGTTCCTATTGTTATTCAGTTGTAATCTATGTTTTCTTGTATACTGTTTTATGATGATGATATAGAAAAAGCATAAAGCAAAAATTTTTATAAATCAATTATTTTAATAACCTTGACGACACCACGAGAAAAAAAAACCAAACCACCGTCGTCCTTTAATATAAGTAGCTGTTGGTAAAACATGACGACTCTACCTTTTATTTCAACAAGTGCTAGCCAGCATTGATTACAATCTATCATCTGGGTTACTTTTCGAACCACCCATCCAGCAATATATGTCACTGCATTATCGATAATAGTTGACATTGTGTTTTAATTTAGAAACTCCAGTTCTAAAATAGCTTCCTCAAAAATATGTTGAAATTGTTCTTCGGGTATTTTTAATTCAGAATTTTTTTTAATTGTTCCTGTACATTGCCTAAAAAATTAAATAATGATAAACATAAAATATCTTCTAAAAGGTATGTATTTTTAATTTTTGAATAACCTGTTTTCCCAGGGACAATCCCACATCTGAAATAAACTCGTTTAAAGATGGTTTCCAACTGTTGTACATTGGGATTGTCATTGCATTTTCCTAAGTCAAATTATAATATACGAAGTTAAAGTGTTTTAAAAATTACTTTATATATTTTCAAACCTGCACTTCTGATAAAGTTGAAGAACAACTCCAGATGATCCTGACTGAATTTGTACGTTAGAATAAATTTTTGGGTTGGAAGCGATGATACAATTTCAACAAAAAATGTATAGTGAAAAAATAGTTTCTAATTTATAAAATTTTCTTACCGGAATTTACAACCAATCTTGAGTTCAGTTCATCATTGATTTCTTTAAGTTTTTAAATTTTTTCTTTAAATGCCTGAACATTTAATTTATTTTTCTTTATTCTTCTATTGCAGCCGTACAACACTTTCCTTGTTTTAGTCAATGTCGTACTTATTTGATTAGTTTTCCTTTTCAAACTTCTCAGCGTCAAAGCATCAATACCAGTCTGTTACATTTTAAGTATATATTCCATAATTTCATAAAGTAATTTTTTAAATGACAATTCAGCTTTTTGAAATAGAAGCATCAATGAATGCAAGCCATATAAAAATTTCTTTAGATAACTATTTGTATTTGAAAGTTTAATAAATTTTATTTGATGCGTATATTATGTTATAACCTGTCAAACATACAAACCAATTTAACAGCATATGTTGATGGTTTTTCAATTGGCCGCGACGATGTTGAGAGTAACTGAAATGTTAAATTATTAAAGTTTTATTAACACTGGACTAATTAATATCTTTAAGGTGACAACTCCGGTCAGAACGACAAGACAAATGTTTAATTATGTTTCTATCTTATGTATAAAACATAAACATGCTTCTTATGTTTTAATATAAATATAACAAAACTTAATGCAAAGCAAATTTTTAAAAATATTTAATAAAAACTGAAATTTATAACACTTGGTGGCTTAAAATGTAACACAATCTTGATAATATATTATAGGCATAAAAATACGAACCAAATTTACACTTGACATCATATCAGTTATTAACGTTGCTGAAATTTTATCGGAAACTAACTTTACATCTGAAGAAGGCTAAAAATACAAAATGTTTAAATTACGATAAAACCAGAACTTCAAAAATTAAAATAACTTTGTTTTCGGTATATAATAAATCATAACATAAATAAAGAACACTTCAGAAAAATTATCCTGACAACAATATCTTAATTTCAAAATTATAACTTTAAAAACATTTAAATTATACAACTGAAATTTGAAATGATTGGTTTTTATATACCTACGTAACACTAACCTTGTCAAATATCGTTGGAAAAGCATCTTTTTGAAGAAAAATTTTCAAACCAACTTTATGAAAACTTTCCGGTGTAAAATGTTTGCTACAAATTAAAATCTTTTTTTTCATCGTAATTGTCAATGTGTTTTTTAATGAGGTTTTCCCATTGCATTCTCTTAATATCATTCTTTGGCAGTCTGAACTTAAATTTAACTTAATTAATATCAGCACATATTATTTATACAACTTTGAGTTAACATAACCATTTAATGCATTTATTATGTTACTAATATTATTTATTACTATTATATTATATTATTATATATAATTGTTTGCTGATTATTAATGTATTTATATTTATATATATATATATATATATATATATATATATGTTGTATAGTGTTATATTTTATAGCTATAGTATAGTGTATAGTATAGTCTAAATTAAATTAATCTGTGTAAAGTAAAATTTTCATTTAAATAAGATGAGTGGCATTTTGTAATGAAACACACAGGCATTTTGATTTGGTTGAGAATCGGTGTCTGTCAAATCATTTTCTAATTAAAAATGTATTATTGTTTTTAATATTATTTTGATAAGTTAAAAATTAAGATTCTCTAATAGTTTAATCTCCATGTCATGTGTACTTAACTATTTATGTATGTGTACGTATATGTATGTAGGAATGTAAAATGTATAAAACGAAATGTATAAATGCAGAAAACTATACTAATCCGTTTTCTTTTTTAAATGTACTAAATATAGTATATAATATATAAAATGCTATACGAAATCGAATTTAAAACAGCAGACGAGACAAAAGCTTCGCAAGCGATAATTTCAGATCAGACGATTAATCAAAGACGCTGACGAAGACAACGACGATGCTTGATCCATAGAATAAAAAACAATTTTTGTTATAAATTAATTTTTATGCCATATCCATTTTATCCATGACGGCATGTCTAGAAAAAAATCGTTTAAAAATCGAATCAAGTCGCAACCCAAAACTTATTATATATTATGAAAGATAATTGAAAATTATGATGTAAAATATGATGTAAGCATATAAAAAAACAGTTTGGGCTCACTGTCAAATTCGTAAAAAAAATGAAAAAAAGCGATAACGTATTTATTGTTATACACACTAGGGTGGAATGAAAATTTTTTTTTAATTTTAATATTCCTGTACTGCCAATCAATGACCCATTGTCTAAGATGTGTTCGCGCAAAATTTTAGCTTTCTAAATCAAAATCTTCAGGTGGCACATCTGGTTTGAACTTTGAAATAAATCAACTTTTGATTTACTGACGGAACTTTATTTTACACAATGCTTCTATATATTTTGTATTCTGATACTAAAAATTACTAGTACATTTGATAGTTATTATTAAATCAAAATAAAAACAATTGTTCTAATGTCGTAATTCCAAAGTCTCCGCACCTTCTTTTTTACCAAAATACTGAGATTTGGTGTTGACAATTTGTATATCTTGTCTGGCTTTTATTCTAGTTCGAATAAATTTATCTCTAGCTTCTGGTCCACAAACAGATGTTGAAGCCTCTGTCACGAGCTTGAAGTGTGAGTGTGGCAAGGATACTTTTCAATTTCAAAAAGACATTTTGAAGAAATGTCATTTGAAATTTCTATGTCGCTATATTTTTTGGAACGGTTTTAAAGACAATGTTTTTTAGGCAAACACCTTTTAACCATGTTGAACACATGAATTGAACCATATTTACAAGATGATTTTGTCTTGATATCAAACCAGGTTGGTGCGTAAACTTTCATGATGAAATTGGCTAATTCTTTCAAGTTTTCCGTCGGGTTAGTTGTTCAAATATATAACCGAAGAATCCTGTTTGCGCAAGTCAACCATCGAGAATGTGTCAGTTTTCCTGGATCTTTAATAGCTAAGTTTGGTAATAGCGTACCAGCAGAAATTGCGAAGCACATCTGATACAGATATTTTTGATCGGTGCTTAGCAAATCAGTGTTCAGGTTTGGCAATTCTGTTGGAATTGGTTCAAATGTTGGGATTGGTTCAAACTTTGAGGTCGAAACAGTTGTCGAGCCTTTTTCCTAGGCTGCCAGAAAAGCTATTAGGGCCTGTTGTAGTACCGTCGAGACTGGAGAACAAATGCGAAACGGTAATTCATTTGCGTGTAACAAAGGTCGTTTTAGGTGTTTTTCTAGTAAAACAATGACTCAATTTTTGTGTCCCGTATTTACCGTTGTGCCATCGCATCCAATTGCCAACAAGGAAGAACGAAAGTCAGATTTCATTTCAAGAAAATCAACAATGCTTTTTTCAATCGTATTTGCTCTTCCAGAATCAATAGAGAGATGACCGGTGTATTCCGAATCTGGCTCTGACAAGAGAGAAATATGCTCCTCAGTAATAGTTTTCCGATGTGCTGTATTGTTAGTAGTATTCATGACTAAAGTCTTGTCTTTACGACCGTCGGAATAAATAGCTGTAATAATTTTATTGCCCTCAGCATATTGCAAATGTTTGCGTACTTTTTTTCGCTCTCGACGTATTTTGCTTCTGTTTATTACTTTTGATGAATCGTCTGTTCTAATAACATTCGAATCAAGCAAGGCAGCGTTAACAATAAATGCAGCAGATCGATCAGAAATTCCAGTTCGGTAGCTAGATTTTGCAACTAACCTCTCATTTGTTGAGTTTCTTTGCCAGATCGACGTGGCGTTTCTATGATGCGAATCTCATGCTCATCTGATATATCAGTTGAAGAACTACCAGATGCTGAAACAAATAACAAAGACAAATTAGTTCTTAAGCGCATTGAAAAAATATTTTCTAGTTAGAAGTACAAATACAGTTTTTTTTATGAAATGCCTTCATAGTGCGCCACCTCGAGATAAAGTCGCAGATTTTTAATTTTTTGTACCAATGATGCTTTCCCATAGGGTCAACGATTAACGATACAGAAAATTAAAAAATAGGAAAATTTTTGTTTGCCAAATTCACTCCCCCCTATTACACAGTGCAATTTGAAAATTTAAAAAAAATTGAACATATCATAAAGCCATCAAAATATTGTTTTATGTTGAAAAAATACCGTTATAATGAAGTCAATATCTGATAAATTTTTTTTCAATTCTCCTGAGAAATAAAATTTTTTCATTTGATAAAAAACGAATGAAACAAACAACAATTCCATTTTGTTAAAAAATTAGATATTTTTTGAAAACATTAAAAATATATTATTTATTACTTTAGACGCCCTTTCAATTTCTGCTGGAAGCTAAAAATTTTCACCTCACGTTTTCATTAGTTAAATTGAGGTTTCATTAAAAATTTTTTGGTACACAAAATCAATTATATAATTGTAAAAAATATTTAACATACATTTTAATAATATAAATAATATAAATTATATAATATAAATTATCTAGTTTCGTTTTGGCTCTTTATTGAAATTGTGATTAATTGTAAAAAAGCAGTAAAACAATTCAACAAACTGTGCACTTGCAAATAAATCTGTCATGTATTGTACGTCATACTAGCGTTTTCACATTTCTATATTGTTAAGATAAAATAAATAATTATTATTTTGGGCATCATTTCTATTTTTGTTAGCGACGAAAATTTTCAGCCGTCACGTTGTAATTATTTACAACGTGTCCCTGGAAATTAACACCAGAAAATAAATCGGTTAAACAACAGACGTAAATAGCCGCCTAAACCATTTTAAAAATTATAATAAATTGAGTACTTTAACTTCCTAACAAAACTGTCACGAAATGCGGATGACTCGATTAAGATTGACAAGTGGTCCTGACGGATGGTTTTTCTAAAAATGTACACTTTAAACATACCCAGTAACGCAAAATCATATCATGTAATTAGCTAACTTACAGTGTTTCGCTAAATACCGCAAATGTAATGTTAATTGATATCAACATTAAAAAATTTGAATAAAAAGATGAGATTTGAGCTGTCTGCAAGTATTAAGATTCTAGGTGGACGACATTTTGGAGACAAATTATTCCATAATTTACCTGCGAAGCTACTTGTGCCAGAACCAGAAAAGTTCAATTTAGCGGTAGACTCAAATGAGCTTCAATTATATCAGTTACAACGACTACTTAGAGAGCAGCCTAAAGTGGAACTTAACTGCTTTACTCTGGTTCGAACGTCGTTTTTCATTAGGTATTAGAAACAATGATCACTGTTGAACATAAACAATTTTACTTTTGTTTTTAATGATACTTTTTAGTAATTATCGAAATTAAGAAATCATTAACAGGGACATACGCAGATTCGTTTCAATTCGTTGCAAACATAAGGCTGCCGTCTTCGAGTTTTAAAAGAATTTTTGCGTTTAATAAGTTTATAATAAAAAATGAATCGATAAACTGTAAAGTTTTGATTAAATTAAATTTTATCATAATCAGTTTCTAAACCTGATATAGTAGCCTAAGTAAAGAACTTTTTTTTGCAACCTTATATTTTTTAGGATGCAACTCTGGACTTGCGTCACGAATGCGATCAAAATTGTCATTCAAATGTTTGAAATGGTAATTTATTCCATTCGTAAAACAAATAAAATCATCACCATATGTTAAGATGGTTTCAAAACAGATTGAGTAATTGGAATAAGAATAGTGAATTAACAAGTTCTTGAAAAAGTTTGGTAAGCTCGTAGTGTCCATCGTGTTTCAAGATTAAATGGTAACTCATAAAATTCTGAGAATAAATCTAAAACTGAGAAAATGTTTGATTTTGCATTGGAAAAACTTTCTACTAAATTGTCAAATGTTGGTGATGGTAAAAATAGTTGCTTGGTAATCTGATTCAAATTAAGAAAAACGACTGCAAATCGTTTAATGCTTTGCTTTGATTAAGCATGTGTTCCTGTTATAAATGACTTGCGCATCTATTGGAAATTATATCAATATAAAATATGGCTTTGGCACACGAGAATTGAATTGCAGGTGTTGGAACTCTCTAACTCCTCTGACTACTTTTCCATCACTTACGAAGTTCAGAGCGGATTTAGACCCATCTGTTTGTAAAATTGATTGAATTGATTGAAAACACGTCTGTATAGTAAAGTAGGCAAATGACAATATACCAACCGATCTTCGTAAGATATATTTTTGCAGCATTTAATTAATCTGTAGCTCTTTTTTGAATATGTTCAATGGCATTAATTTTATTTTTTTCGTGTGGCATCCAAATATTAACATCATATTCAAGATGTAGTCTTATCAAAAATTTATATAATAACAATATGCTTATCCATTGAATTTAAAATTTTTAATTGCTTGACTTTTTACAATTTTAATATTAGAAACAGCTAAAAAACCCCAAAGCTTTTTCGTTTGTCATCTTACATAATATATACTGTAAATACCAAAATTGAAACAAGCGAGAACGAATTATAAATTTAAAAATCACAAATACGTTCCACAAAAATAACATTTTCGTTAACTAAAATTTAATAAGATAAGACTGAGATCAGCTAGGAATAATTAAAATTAAGTTAATGTCACTGATAGTTTTAAAATACAGCAACGTGTGTTTTATTTATTATCACTAGTTTTGGTTTGGCCAACATAGTGTCCGCAAAGGTAACAAATTCACTTAGTACGCAATTAAATTTTATATAATTTAAAAATATGCGTATTAGAAATAAAACAAATGTTGTTATAAATATGTTTTATTAAAATGAATTGCTTTCTTCTTGCAGTGTATAAATATTCTTAATTTTAAAATGTCAATCAATCAATCAATCAACCAACCAATCAATCAATCAACCAACCAATCAGTCAATCAATCAATCAATCGAATTAAAATGCTTAAATCATAAATAAATAATTAACATTTGGGGCTGTGTTAAAAATGAACCAAAGTGATTTTTGCTAGAAGTTAAACGAATATTGTCAATAATGATTTTTGTTTAGTTTTTGTTACTTGAGCTAAAATAATAGAGCCATATTTTTGAAAAATAATTATTGTAAATTTAATGTGTCTTATTATTAAAATTTGATCGCTAAAGAAAAAATTAAAGAGTAACTAGTTATAAACATTGCTGTCAATATTTTTGTTAAAAGTTAAAGTAAAGACAATCTTGCTTTTTAATTTCGTAAAACTGAAGATTTGTTTGCTACTTTTTTGAAGGTATGTTTGACTATCAACGTTGAATTTTGCTTGACATCAATTTCTGGATAGAGGTAGCTTTGTTATCATCAATTTGACTCAAGGCTGGCGGTTCGGACAAATTCAAATTTAGAGAGTCCTCGTGATTGTTGGTAGAAGTTAAAAAAATATTGTCAATAATAATTTTTGTTTTGTTTTTATTTGAGCTAAATTCGTGTTCAATTTCGTTGTCATCACAGAAAGCACTTGAGTTTCTCATATTAAAACTGACTTTGTTTTTAACTAATCTTGGATTACTTTTAACGTCGTCCTTTTTTTCATCTGTAGCAACATTTATATTTATTATTATACAACTTTCTTTTTTTTCTAAGCTTGAAAAAAAAGTTAAAATTACAAAATATTTTATAAACAAAAATTGATATTATAGCATGCAAATTTACATGGTTACATTATTAATAATTATTATTCAGTAAAATAATATTAAAAAAATAATATTTTAAAATATTATTTTTTAAAGATGTAATTATTAAATCTATACTATCTAAATAACTATACTTACCTTTTGATTGGATGAATTTTTGATGTGTTTACATTACTACATTTTAATTTAGCATCATTTATTTCCACGTGTCTATTTTTCATTGCAGAAATTGACTGACCAAAAACATTCATGACATCATCTGGAATAAACTTTTCCGATCTCTGGCAGAAATTTTTATATTTTGGGTTTAAAATTAAAATTTAATATTACAAACAACATAATTCATAACTAATGTTATGGTGGCGTGATGGCTCAATGGTTAAAAGCACCTGGTCTTGCTGCTGCAGTGACTGGGTTCGAATACAAAGAGATCCCCGCTTATCATATGCAATGTGTATGATGTTTGGTTTTTACGCGTATTCATGTACGCTGTGTGTGTTTGTTGTTGAAACCTCTGAAGTAAGCGCAAAAGAGAGAGAGTAACCTTTATTATTTGTACCAATAAAAGTTAATTTTGAACTGTTATACGCAAACCCTGTGCGGATAACGACAACCGCGGTATTAACCGCAAAACTGCACGGCAACTGCGGTTTTAAATTTGGCAGTTGCGGGTGGTTGCGGTTTTTCTTCTGACAATTCGCGGTTGGTCGCGGTTTTTGTTCTGGCAGCTTCAAACTGCATTAAAACAGCAGTTGTTCTGAAGTGGAAATTTTAGTTAAAATTGAGACCCAGATAAAACACAGCAAATGTCGTTTTCAGTTACGTATGTATCTATATATGCGTGCATATTCGCATATAAGCAATTAAGCATGTATGCATGCATTTACACATTATACATTTATTTGTTCACATGATTCAGTGGTTCTCAAACTTATTTCTTTCACCGCCCACTTTAAGCGAAAAGAAACTGTGCATTCTTTTATTAAGAAATTGACAAAATAATAAACTACTTATCTTGCAAAAAAGCTCTCGGCGTCGAAGTTATAAAAATGAGCAGACTTGCTTGGTTATTGCTACTACATATATTACTATGCCAATATTAGAAACAGAGCTCATTCAATACCATAAGAAATACGCAATGCTAAAAAAAAACAAAATTATGGCTATTGCCACAACTACAGAAGTATTTTTCTCTTTAACGTTGTTGAGTAGGTTTTTCCCCGTGCTGCCCTAGCCCGTTTTCAAATTATTGCATC